TTTTTTTTTTAGAAAAATACATGCGCCCTGCGATACAAATTTACAATGGCGAATTATATAGCTGATTTTGGGAATGAGGAAAACATCCCGCGAAGCAGCCGATCCGCGAGTTATCGGCGTCACCGAATTAGTAGGCCAAATGCCGTGACATCTGTAGCAAGTGACGAAGCATTTTCATTGATTGAGTGTATTAAAAAATGCGCTGTCCAGGGGCGTGCTTAAGAGAAACTGTAAACTAACTTGACAGCATTTGCTAGCCGAGAGTTTATTCTGTCTTCAATGAAACGTTGCCTTACAGGCCGTGATTTTACACGCAAAAAGGCTGAGAAATTAAGATATATGACCAGCTCATCATGGTTATGATAAAGTCAGCTTTTATGAACCTCGCCAACGTCTTAGTCCGTTTTAATCAACTGCTATAATATTGTTGCTCCTTCCCACATATCCAATATGGACATCCACCGTTACATCCAGTCTTTCTCAGCGGTTTAGAAACACATTTTTTTTTTCATTTCATCTGCGTTTTTCCCCTTATCCTGTAACGACAACAATTCTTTGACCTACAAGTGACCGAATTCCTCATTCTTTAAGTTTCAAGAGAATGCAAATCAAGAGAATTGCAGACAATACTCGTGCATAATTTTTTTTATTGACAAATTGGAACAAAGAACCTGACGAAAAGAAAATTTATCGTTGAACCAAGTTTTTTCACAAGTTGGACAATAACAAGTGTAAATGCACGGGCGCACGTGCAAGAAAACAAAAGTATATATCTATCTATATATCTCTCTATATGAAAACCTTTTTGAAAACGGGTGTATATATATATATATAAGTAATCGTTGGCCAAGTACGTTGTCTCAAGAAAACGAAACGTGATGCAAATTGATAAACATTTCTGTTACTGTAGCTTCCTCCGTACGCATCACTATCCTGAGCAGAGGACGGATGGAAGAATGGGGAGAGAACTTGGAGTGACAATATCAACAAGGTGATGATCTTCTGCGCATGTTGGCTCACTCATACAAATCCAATTTGTGTACGGGATTGTGGGGGGCCGTTTTGAGTGACAACAGCAGATTTACGAGGCCTTGTTCGTAAGTTTGTCGAAAGGCAAATGACATTTATATTCAAGCGTTAGAAAAACATATCCAGATCCCTCCATCTCAGCCAGGAGGGCTGTGGAATAGAGTCAACAGTGGTAGGAACGTCTTCGCTTGTCTCCCCGTTGGAATGTTGCATTGATACAGAATGTTTTTAGGAATTGTAATAATAATAATATCACGCCAACCGGAAGTGAACTTTTTACGCTCTTGAGCGGTCGTTTCGCCCAAATTTCCAGTCAGATCGTCTCTATAATAGTAAAGAAGCCAAGGAATACAGATTTTGTATCGTCAAGGCATATTTAGAGGGAAGAGGCGTCACTTCCGGTTGACGTCCGTCGCTCAAAAACTCCTAACTAGGGACCTTACGATCTAGACTGCGAGCAGTCTCTCTTTTTCTTCAGATTTAGTAAGGGGAGTGCACGCGCGCGTGAGCGTTGTGCGGCAAAGCCGCGAGACACGAGAAACGAGGGCGACAGCCCGTCTCGCGCCTTCAGTCACGCGCGTGGTCATTTGCGTGTCTCGGGCGTTTTGCTCGACGGACCAAGAAAAGAGAGAGACTGCTCGTGGTCTATTACGAACCGACAACGGCGACTTCCTTGAAAGCGTCGCTGAAAAACAGACTTCGCATCATTTCAAACTTTTTCGCGATTACCCCAATAGGACAATTGCACGAGGACGATATTTGACTACAACTACCAGAATTCATTTCGGTTTTGCTTTGTTATTTAATTTTGTCAATCCCGCTGAGGATTAAAAAACAATGGCCTTAATTTGCACAAGGAATCAACAAACTCGAGGATTCTGGTAGTTGTAGTAAAATGACGTCATCGTGCAATTTTCCTATTCGTCCTGTTACTTAAAAGAAGGGGATTTTGGCTGGAGCTGGAGAGGGGGGAACGCGCTCAAATTCGGACAGAGATGGTAGAATTTATCGCCTTATCGTTCCCGTTCCCAAGTAAACTTAAAATTTGGTCATTTCACGTCGTAGTTGTGCAGTGAAGGCAAAGAAATGTACAAAAAAGCGTGATGTACGTGCAGAGTTGTTGTTTTGCTCATTTAACCTATTGTTTTTTGACGTTCCCGTTGCCGTCGTCGTCGTGGTTTCGTAAGGTCCCCTATTAACGAAAACCAGGGAACCAGGAGCCGCTTAAGTAATCGGCCCCTGCGAAAACCTCCAGAGCACCCCGGGTCCTGTCACGTGTCCATACGAGTGAAGAACGCGGTCTACACTCTTCGATATTTGGCAGGCAACCCTTCTTCTTTCTTTTCTTGTTCTCAGACTCCTCACGGTCAGTGTAACCTTTACAAAAGGAGTTTCCTGTAGAGGGGGCTTTACCTAGTCCCTAGGATCCCTAGGCCTTATTTTTCCGCGTGACCTATGCGTTTTGGGTCTTCCTTCTGTAAGTCTCGGATACGTCATCGAAATAAATTGACCGAGAAGGCCTGGGAAGACCGCGCCGTATAGGGACTTGGGACGAAGCAAGAGGAAGCTATGGTAACTTCTGGTAACTACTGGTATGAATATCTGCGACAACTGTTGGCCATTTTATGGTTGCACTTGAGACTGGGCTAGACTGGGAGGCTGGCTTAATACGCTAAACTGTCCAAATCGGTCACCACAAGAATGATGAATCTGTATGGTTAAAACTATTTTTGGCGCTTGAATTACATTTCACTTTCCCAATTTTCAGTATCAAATTGTACATTTTTTGGTAAAATTACTTAACGGTATATTAAGAAAGGGAATTATGGCGGCCTACTTAATACCCCAGATATTTACTGGCTATGTAATGGATCTATTACCGGGGGCTTAAACCTGAGTTTTCACAGCATCACAGGACACGAAATTAAAGGTTCACGTTTTTAGCTATTTGTTCGGTAAGTACATTTTTCCCCTAACTTTCCTACCTGTCAAGAAACAAAAAAACATCACTGACGTTAAGTGAAAAACCTCTGGCTAAATCTAAATAAGATAAGAAGAACACAAACAACCTAAGATATCACTATCAGTCCGTCACTTGTAAACGAATAGTTGTTAGTATAATTTTAATTTATACTGCAGAACAATCTCATTTTAAATCGGAAAATAAGTCGAAGATCACCCGCAAGGGTAATGGACAAATACTTTTTTTGCCGTTCGTATCCACCAAATGTGTCTGGCTCGAAGGAAGATGAATAAATAAATTATTAGGTCTCGTTATGCTCTTTTTGGTTTTAGAGAGACTACGTCAGAGTTGTAATAAAATTACCAAATATTATGTAAATAATACAAAAAATCGTACGTCAAAATGCTACAGTTTACCATTTTTATCATTTAAAGTCAAGAGATTTTTATGAAAAAAGTAAATGATACTTGGGATGTATAAAGATGATCCTATGAAACGTAATATTTTAATTCTTCAAATCACGGCGGAGTAAATAATATTTTCCAGAATATTCAAGCAGTTGTTGACTATATGCCAGAAAGTTGTTTTCAAAGAGAAGAAAAAAAAGAGGCTGATCTCAGGTTAGAGCGATTGTTGACAAACTCCTGCGACTGTTATTTTTCAGTGGACATTTTGCTGTGATACCTCGTTTAATACCAGAAGAAACGCTGCCGAGCAGGGAGTTTGAAAAACTCTGCCTCTATTTAAAGGCTGCAGGTATTTGGTCTAACTTGATCTTTATTCAGAATTTGCCAGAGAGAACGATATGAGTTAAGTCAGAGATAGTAGCGCGGTTTACTCTTCGGGGCGCGCAAAACACTGAAAATCTTTAGGTAGCATTTAAATAATTATATCAAACTTTGAAGAGCAGATGCTACAATTTGTACGTTATCCATGGGAGACGGTAATTTGATCTTCAAATTCTAACGAGTTTTCCTTTGAAATGTTTCAGTATTCAATATGATATACATACTTTGTCATGGTGGTTTTGCTTCCGTGAGGTTTTACACGAGGAAGATACATTGTTAAAAATATTTAGGTACTTTTTAAACAAACAATTATTTTCTAGAAAGAGAAAAATCGTCTCGTCATTTAGTGTTGTCTTTTTATTTCAAAACAACAATTGGTTTTCCATATAAAAGAAATAATAGCGCTCAGCTAAACGTCTCTAAAAGTTTTGATAGACGCTTTGCGATAACTTCATTTACGGAAGTGTATCCATTGTAAGCGGTGAGCGGTGAGGACTATTTTGTTATCTTTACACCACAATGTCTCCTGCTGTGAATTTCCGTCACCAATATGCTAGAAGGGTGGAAGAGCGTGGTGCATATTCAAGAAAAATCCCAGACCTTGACAGGCAATTTTTTTTTCGATGATTATCAAGTTTTCGCATTCTGTGCAGCATAACGGCAAAGAACTGATAATTTTCCCTGCACTGTTTAATCGGGAGTTAAATTTTTAAAGCATGAAAATAGGCCTTTTGAGATCACACATTTTTGTAAACAAGGTTTTAATTTTTTCAGGCTTCAGTTTCTGACAAATTGTAAATTATTTAGGCAAAGATATAGGCCCGAGGGACAAAAATCGCATTTTATACGTAACCATAGTTACTATGACGTATTCATGACGCGACAATGCTTTTTGAATGGCGAAAAGGTTGATTCACATGCTGCAACGGCAATGGTAATTTACAGCAATAAAAACGGATGTCAGACATGAAAAAGAAGAGAAAAATTAGCATAACCTAATGCAGTTGTCGCCAAAAGGTATTTTTATGCAGTTAGCTAACATTTCTTCAGCCCTGTCGCCGCAAGGTGGTAGTAAAACAATCTTGAATTTCTTTTCTCTCCACTTGACATCTCGTAAAGTAATATTGAAATGAAGTATTGTCTTCGTTTCGCCTTCAACAAATGAAAATTGCACATTCAAATGTTCATTTATTCAAATCATCAATTACAATCATCGGAGGGAATTTCAATTAGGCCTTGTGTACAATGTTTTTCTTAGTTTTTGCTGCATTTTTATCAACTTAAAAGCGGAGACAAGATAGAATTTTCGCGGGAAGGAAGACAATTTTACACCACTCTTGCGTTCTTCAAATTTTGCTTGGTAATTTTGGCTAAGAACTGTAGATTACTTTTGGAGAGATAAACATCTCTACAGGGAGCTGACGAAAAGTGTGTTTCCGAGAAAAGGCGTAAAAATGTGCATTTTTTGTTTGGGTTTAATCTTTTCTTCTACCACTTCAACTGAAAATCCTCACCGAGTGACGTTTTTTCAATCACAGCCTCTGGTCATGAACAAATGTAAGTAAGGCTAGCTTAGGTTTATTTCAGCTTGTTAGATTTATTGAGCACAGGTTAGCCTAACAGTATAATTTCCAATAGCATGAGCCGTGTTAAGAGGTTATAAAAAATTGAGGGGTGAATAGAATTAAAAGGGAATTTACAACTTTTAAGTATTATTCTTCAACCAGCTTACTCTTGGATTCATCCAGATTCGATTGTTTTTTATGTATGGCTTTCTGTGGACTAAAATACTTTTAAGTATAATTTGTCCTTAATATTTTATAACCTAAATGAATCACATTTAGCCGCTAACATAAGCTTATGTATGTTTGTTTTATCAAATTTTGAGACAACAAAAATGTACTGGCGTAGAGAACGAAAGAGGTTTACATCAAGTTCGCCGCTTCGAAAATGTGGTTTGCTGTGCCGTCGGATTTTGGTGATATCATTGTTCGTTGGTTGCGGTTTAATGTTTAAAGCGCTGATAACAAGATTGGAATGGAGCGACGGTAAGTATTTCAGCTCTTTTTGTAAAATTCTGACAGCTAACTTTTTAAGGTATTGATCAAGGCTGTTTACGTTTACTGACTTGCACTATAAAATGCAAAAAAAACATGTAAGAAATGCATAACAATGAACACGATCGGCAAATTTTATAGTGCCTGATATTATCTTCAGCCAGTTTTCATAAAATATTCAGTTTTTCAGGGAAGCAGTGTCTTTTTGAAAAATGGAATTTCTGCCGGCTCTTTATAAACAAACTCAATTTTTGACAGAGTTCAAAGATAAAGGCTGAGGTAGTTTGGGTTTACTTCCAAAAGTGTAAGCCTGGTTGATCATAAACGAAGAGCCATAAATAGTTCAAGTGTTTAAATTTAAGCTTACAATTCTCAAACCAGAAAATTAAAAAATATTTATATTCACAACATAAACCGACCTAGCGGACGATCCAGTTGTATGGTGGAATTAACCTCAAATTTTGCCGCTAAAATCAGTTTATCTGGCTCCACCAAAAGATCTCTTCTGATTCATGTAAGTTTATTCAGCTCAGCGAAAATGTAGACGAATTTGGGAAAATGATGGAAGTTGCTAGTGTAAGCTGTCAACGCAAGAGACAGGTATATTTTCGTTGAGTGACAATTAGAAAACTAAATCTTTCTCGATAAAAAAGCCAATAATTTGTATATGATAATTACTTATATGTTTGAAGCAAGCGGCTGTATAATATTTGCGTTTTGCTCGTTAAGTGATACAAAATACAGACCTCTAAGCCAAGGGAAGAAAAGATGATTAATTTTTCGTTTCCCACCATAAAGTTACATGCGATGAAAACAGGCATGAAGCCCTTACGTTTTTGTTTGTAGTACAAACGAGTTACAGCTTATAATAACCTCCGTGATCTTCATGAGTCCATTCTCTGTTTTTTTTCTCTAACAAGATGTTTATAACCGAGCATACTTGACGTATCGCAAGAAATGCTTCGGGGAGTAAAATTTTAAACCTTCTAAAACGGGTAATTATACTATGTCACCGTGAAGAAAAGAAATAGAAGGCCACCGTTAAATACAACAGTCCTCTTTAATCTTAAATCTGAAAAATACAAAACCTAGTACCTGTCTGGGCATTAAAATAAAATTGGAATTGATACTGTCAAGATATCACTAATTGCACTAATTTCACTAAAAGCACTAGAGGTTTACATAAAAATTTGGTGATCGGTAAGATTAGATTAGTTTAGATAGACTTCGAAAACTTCGATTGTTCTTTTTTGAGACAAAATCTTTTGAGTCTCAACTTGAACCTCGCCGCTTTCGCTGCAGTTGCCCAATTACTATACAAATAAAATGCTTCAATATTGTCCCGAAAGACAAATATTTTTAATTCACCTACGGCCTTGTTTGAAAACAATTACACTAGAGGTGTTAAGCACACCCTTTGAAATGACCTGCATCTTAGGTTATTAAAAAATGCAAATTTTGTTTTCCTGGCTACACACTATTGCTGTGTAAAACGAAAGAAGGACAAAAATCGCAAAAACAAAGGTTTTCAATTGTCTTGTGTACAGTGTTTCCGTAAAGTGATGTGGTTCTTTGACTGATCCCATGTTCGGATTAAGGATTAAGCGAAGAATAGACAAAACTCTCTAAATATTGCCCTCAGTTTGAACGGCGTCAATAAACTAGTGTTCGTTCGTACCTTCGACACCTCCTGTGTTCTACCTTGAGTGTGAAGTTAGAACTTCCTTCCTTCTGCGGTAAATAGAAGCAACTTTTGTTTCTAAACGGGATGATTTAAATTGAGTACATTACAAATTGATTGTCTATTCCACACAACAATATCACTAAATAAGTATTGAAAGTAAGCAATGTATTTTATCTTTCCCTTTAAATATTATTACCTGTTTTTAGTTCAAGATTTCACTCTACACATCTTTGAAAACTTTGTTTATTTAATGAGAGATTTAGAGTCACGAATACGGCAAACGGCAAACGTGAATTTGTACCACGTGACCAATTTTCCCCTTACTTTGCGCTTTACTGTTCATTACCTCTACCTCAAAATTAGTAGCTTCGCGTTAGTTTTGTCCATAAAAATTGGTTTGAACTGTTTTTATCTGCACGTTGTCTATATTGAAAAATTGTCAACTTGAATCTGACGTTTACCGTTTGCCGTAAACGGCACTCTAAATCTCTCCAATTTCTACCCTAATAAGGAGTATTCATTACCATTTGAGAGAAGGCTAGGATAAGAAAGCGTTTTTCAGAAACCACCGTCAGTTAGCACTTTCACTTCGGTGCTTGCCGTTTATTTCAACTATTAATTTTCTTTAACGAGCAAAGCTCTTAAAAGTTATTGCGACAGCTTTGTAAATTTTGCAAAACTACAAGAAGCCTAAGTAAAGGAAGCTTCACAAGCATAAAAGGAAATTAATTCTCTTGAATATGATTCTTTTTCTTCGCCACTATATCATTTATCAGCCATCTACGTCCTGAAGAATATTTCTGGGGGGATGAAAAGACTATAATGGATCTTGAAAGTTCTACTAAACGACTCTCGTTTTTCTTGTATTTTTCTACAGAATCTGTTTTTCAATCAAGGCATCTGCTGTCAACGGTGGAGTGGGAAACGTGCAACTTTGAAATAGGCCACGAGAGAAACTACTCTAATCGAGAGTCTTGGACCGCGCCCCGTAAGGCTTATGCCTGGCTAGCATTGCACATATTTCTTATTCTTGTTATCTTTGTAGGTAAGTGAAGGTGTCGTTGTCACAATTTAGGGAACGTTCTCCGGAAAAACAGAACTTTTTAAATTTACCATTGATGCATGAGACGCGTTTCGACGCTACTTTTTTATCATGACATATTACAGTATAAAAACAGGTATTAAAATAAACTTGTTTGAAAATCATCGCTGAATTTTAGCGCGCCCGAGTACAAATGAATTATGTAATCGATTACGTAGACCGGTAAAACCTTTTGGATTAGTTAGCAAGTGATGTTTTTGCTCTTGTCATTGTTCTGTAATCTAAAGAAACGACGGCGCGCGTTTATCTGCTTACCACAACACAGCTAGGCCTATCTTTCTTACTGTTTCTGGCTAGTTTTTGTGATTGTTTGATTTCGAACCCAGTACATGAAAAAGGGGAGGAAAACTATGAAAAAAATCCTTTTTTTTTTCATTACTTTTTCACTCTTTCACTGGAGTATAGCGACTTTCGCCGGGTTTGGTATAGCGCCGCGGATTTTATGAATTATATTTTCGTGATTCTTTCTTTTCTCCGCTCTAAAACACGTTCTTTACCTCATTAACTTCTGAATCTCTTTATTAGTAAAAAAAGTAATTGTACCAGCTGTAAGGCGTCTTGACGTATTTCAATATAACTAATAAATGAACACGACCAAGTCTCCTAATTTTCATTTTGTTTTTTATTTCTTAGCGCTTGCGATTATTTGCGACGACTTTTTTGTACCGTCATTAGAAGCTATCTCGGAAAAACTTGATTTGTCCGAGGATGTTGCGGGTGCAACCTTCATGGCGGCGGGTTCCTCTGCACCAGAACTTTTTACCTCCGTTGCTGGAGTCACGGTTGAAAGCGATGTTGGAATTGGGACAATAGTAGGGTAAGAACGTCCCTTGAAAAGTTTTGATTTGCAAGTATCATACAAGGGCTATTTGCTGAGCCATGGGGAGCTGCGCGACTTATGGGCTATTTACACGGGTAATTTTATTGGCAATTTTTTGCGCACTAGGACGGAAAACCCAAATCGCACCTGTAAGCAGTCGGAAATTTTACCGCAATTTTTTAATTGCAGCCAAGTGGCTGCAATTTTGATAATGATCGAAACTCCAGCAATAGGGTCCTTTCGATATTTTTGACCGCGCACTCCTGAGAACTAGGTAGTCGCATGTAAGCGAGGCTTAGAGGACACAAGATGGCTGACTCTGCTGCAGGCAGTTTTCACTGTAAACCGGTTCCTTGGTTAAAAGAATACTTAAAACAAAGGGGCATTCAAGGCTCAGGAAAACGTAAGGTTGAACTGGTAGAACTTTGTGAGAAAAGTGAGGAGATGAAAGTCCCAAAAATTGCTGAAGAGGAAGCACCAGTCGATCCAAGAGTTTCTATGAAAGGGCAACTGAAAACCGATGAGGGAGATCTCGCAAATCCGTTGGATAACGAAAACCGTGTTTTTTCCCAATGGACCAAAAACTTTACTGACGTACCGGACTTTAGATTCCCCGATCTTTTTAATTACCTGGTGGGTAAAGATCCCGTATACAACAGCGAAAGCCTAAAAAGTTACAAATCTTTATTGGGGTACAAATTATTTTTTGATGGACATGTGGANTCCTTTCGATATTTTTGACCGCGCACTCCTGAGAACTAGGTAGTCGCATGTAAGCGAGGCTTAGAGGACACAAGATGGCTGACTCTGCTGCAGGCAGTTTTCACTGTAAACCGGTTCCTTGGTTAAAAGAATACTTAAAACAAAGGGGCATTCAAAGCTCAGGAAAACGTAAGGTTGAACTGGTAGAACTTTGTGAGAAAAGTGAGGAGATGAAAGTCCCAAAAATTGCTGAAGAGGAAGCACCAGTCGATCCAAGAGTTTCTATGAAAGAGCAACTGAAAACCGATGAGGGAGATCTCGCAAATCCGTTGGATAACGAAAACCGTGTTTTTTCCCAATGGACCAAAAACTTTACTGACGTACCGGACTTTAGATTCCCCGATCTTTTTAATTACCTGGTGGGTAAAGATCCCGTATACAACAGCGAAAGCCTAAAAAGTTACAAATCTTTATTGGGGTACAAATTATTTTTTGATGGACATGTGGAAGAACTTTGGTATCATCCACCTCAACCCAATAGTAATTACAGTTATTTTAAGTTTGCTGTAAAGCCAACTGAAAAATCCAAGACTGATGATGGTTCAGCAACATACAGAGGGTTTTTCATTTTAAAGAAGGATGGAAGTGTCAATTCAGCCTACTGCTTATGCAAAGGAGGGTATGTATTTTCTTCTTTTGATTTCTGAAGCCTGTCTATGTGCTTGATATTCCATAAACATACGTTTGAGAATCAAAACGTTTGGTCTTTTCGGTTGTTTTTCTCTGTGACAGGTTTTGTTTTATTCAGATTCGAAGGTTTATATTTTCCTTGTAGCAGTTGTAACATGAGTAAAAAGTAGATGCCTCCTGAATTGAAGATCTAAATCAATGGATGCATTATTTTAAGTCTCAAACCTTCTGGATCACTTATGACTTCAGCACTAAGTATTAAAACAGTGGTTCAAAGTCAGAATCTGTGAGCCTAGTAACTGAACTTATTGGCTACTTTACAGTCTATCAGTGTGAACAATGTGAGATACATATTTGTCATATTGGTCCTCCTTTAAACAGGGCAGATGGAGGTTGCCGGCACATAGCTGCAGCATTGTTTGATCTAGAAGCAAATGTGAGATTCAATGATCTCCAATCATGTACATCAGGACAGTGCATGTGGAAAAAGAGAGGAAAGAGAAATGAGGGAAGTTTGCCCATTCAGGACCTTCAAACGAGTGGTAGTTACGGTGTGACATTGAAAGACCCAATTCACCCAAGAGATTTTAATCCAATTTGTATTCCCTATAATGTGACTGAACTGGAACAAGATTTTAAAGCTGGGTTGCTGGAAACATGTCCTAGCTCTTCAGCTCTGCCTTTTTTATCTTCAACTAAAGGACCCAGGCATACAGAGGAAGAAGTCAGAGCTTTCATCAGCAGTGATGTTAATGTCTGTAAAGAAGAAAGTGTTCAAAGTGTACATGTATATTCAATGAATGATTACGCCAAAGTGTTTGTTTCTGTTAATACTGAGAAAGTGATGCCTACAGTTTCTAAAGAACTTGCAGTTGAATTCCTCGAGTCTATTCCATTTAATGAAGAGCAAGCAGAAATGATCAACAAGAAAACTGTCTATCAATCCCAGTCTCAATTTTGGTTTGATCAAAGGGCAGGAAGAATTACAGCTTCCTCATTTTACACTGTGTGCCACCTTAGAGAGAGCACAGACAGAAGAAACACTATTAAACATCTCATGAATTACTGTCCAATTGCTGAAGATGCCATGCCACGACAGTTGACATGGGGGCATGAAAAAGAAAAGCGAGCACTTAGTCTTTACATAAAAAAACAGAACAAAAATCATGAAAAGTTGTCAATAGAAAAAAGTGGACTCATTGTAAACACATTATGGCCCTTCTTAGGAGCCAGTCCTGATGGTATAAGGATTTGTGCTTGCTGCCAAAAGAAGTTAATTGAAGTTAAAAGCATGTATGCAAAAAGAAATCTCCCTCCACATGTTGCAGCTGAGGAGAACCTCATGCTTGTGGATGGCAAGTATGAAATTAAAAAAGAAACCAAATGGAACTACCAAATCCAGGGACTGATGGGGATAACAGGGATTCATCGCTGTGATCTAGTTATATATACCCTCAAAGGAATATTGATTGTAAACGTTAAGTTTGATAGTGATTTGTGGAATGAAATGCTCCAAAAGCTGAGAAACTTCTTCGTGGAGTATATAGTTCAGGAACTATTCCACCATGACATACTTAAGTCATTATAGAGTGACTGCCGTTAGATGCTGATTGTAAAAGTGAAGGTGCTTAAAATTAATAGTGTTTTTTGTCTGTGCTGGATTAGATACCACATAATTTTATTGATCTGTCTCTGGATACGTTTAATACATGTTTCATTTACCATTTACATACACTAAGTAGGTCTGCTTTTCTGCTCTCTGGACAAATGCGTCAGTCATTTGGCCAGTGGTGGTAGCAAATTACACAGAGCAGCACAAACACTTAGAATATTGTCTGCAGTGGGTAGCATTTGAAGAAGGAAGTTCCCTTGTAGAATTCTAAAGTCCTTAAGACGTCCAATAGCACGTTCAACGTGGATCCGAACACTTGCAATGGTACGGGTAGATTTTACTGCCTTTTTTGAAAGTTGCTTTCCTGTGTAAGAGGAGAAAAAAGGATTTTGAATGAAGTAAATGCCAATTCAAAAGGTACTGATAGTAAAGTACTTGCTTTTTTGGAAACCTTTTTTCCAAACAAAACCTGTACTAAATTATTGGATGGGTGGAAGTGGCAAACCACTGCCTCACACCAGCTCTTTCTGAATTTTCTGGATCCACCCCTGCTATGTAGACATGTTTGGAAGTTAGTAGAGACTACCTTTATCTTTGAGCAGTTCAACTTAACCCTATAATATAAAAAATATTCCTAAGAAACTTCTTCTGTTTAGTTAGAAAGATCCTTTTTACAAGCAACAAGTAATGGATGCTGTTATATCTGGTTTTTTTTTTGGTTTTTTTTTTTTTACTTTGTCCAGGGAGACCTTCTCTTTTATCTTAGCATACCCTCTTCCACCCCTACCCCATTAGCTCCCTTTATTGGAAAGGTACCTTTGCAAAGTGGTGGGATATTAAGTGCAACTTTCTTTCTTGTAAGCAGATCTCTGATGTTGAACCCCTTGTCGGCCATAACAGAATCCCCCTCTTCAAGTTTGTCCAGTAGACCACTTCTTTCTGTGATGTATCTGTCACTGACATTTCCAGTCCATAGTTTAGAAACAAAGGAGAAGTAACCTGTTGGAGTGATTCCCACCAGTGCTTTCATGGTATTGTGCTGTTTATAGTTACTCCATGTAGCTCTCTGGGCACTAGGGGATGTTGGCTTTTGCAAAAATATCTCTGTGCAATCTATTATTATTCGAGTGCTTGGAAATTTGTTAAAAGAACTTGGCAACTTTTTCTTAATTTCTTCCTTACAAGGCCATTTAAGAAGAATGTCACGAAAAACTGTAGATAAAAAGCAAATCCACGTTGTGAAAACTTTGCTAACTGATCCTTCTGATACTCCAAAGATATCTGTAAGATGTCTGCTTAAAAGCCCAAGTCTGAGTCTCACCAAAGTTAAGATAAATTCCTCCATAATGGTCAATAATCTTTGCTTTCCAGGCTTTTTTTTACTTGAATCTTTTTGATAGCTTACTTTTTTTTCTTTGTTTTTGTCCCAATACTTAAGTTTTTCTGCAAACGGCTTGAGCAAATTAAATATCATCATAAAGCAAGCAAGGCTAGGTATACCCGTAAAAAATTTGACAGACTCGTCATCTTTCAAAACATCATCCACAAAGAGCTCTCTTTTCAATTGTTTTTTGTTTGATAACTTTGATTTAAGTTCGGCGTTCTCTTGTTTTAAAGCGTCAATTTTACTGGTTAAAACCTCTAGATCTTCGTAAGGAAAGTCCGTTTGAGTTCCTTTGTCGTTAGGAAGAAGGTGGCAATAATTGTGATCTAAAAGGGCTGCATCGTCGCTTAAGAAACAAATGTCTTTGTCTTCCTCGGTAAGGCTTCTCTTTTGAGGTTCAGGACATTTTTCATCAACAGCACGTCTCTTTCTGTCCTCCAGTCTCTTTTCACGGGAAGAAACACGACATTGGTGGGTCGAGGGATTAAAATATTTCGGTAATTCACCTGGAATAACTTCTTTTCTTCCGCAAAGCGACTTTTTGATGGATGAAGCCTCGAAGTGTGCGCTGCAAATCCGAGGGTTTTTTTGATTTTGGAATTCGGGATCACAACGTCTACAGAAGTTTTTCCATAGCCTTCTAAAATGCCCTGAAGGAAAACAGAAAAAGGATAGATCCGGACGATTCCTTGAACTGTTCGAGCAGTTTGCTACCGAACAAAAATTCACCATGACTTTTGCAAAACTTGGAGCATTTCAACTTACAGTGAAGACAGTGAATGCATTTCTATTTTTTTATTTTCCCAGCTGTCCTCTAAGCCTCGTTTACATGCAAGTACCTAGTTCTCAGGAGCGCGCGTCCAATAATTTCGAAAGGACCCTATTTCCCGTAAAAATGCCAACTTCTGTGCACCACATTTTTATTTTGGCATTGAGATCGACGATGCTTTCACGCGACAAAATGCGCGTTAAAATCGCCTATGTAAATACGTGTTTTGGGCAATCGTAACCTTTCTGTTATCCCTGTGAACTCCAAAGGGCGTAACCAGTGCTCTGTAGTTAACTCAGTAGAAGCGGGAAGGGGGGGGGGGATTACTCGGGGGAAACGTTTGTGCAGCGATTCTCTACCCAGTCTGTCAAATAACCTTTGTATAGGTAATCATGCGATTCCGAGTTCGATTTGGAATTTATTTGCACGAGTGTGTTTTTCAAAAAGTATTAAGAAATTTGAGCTCCCTGCAAAAACACGCGAATGAAAACTAGAGTTAAAGTTAACTATAGATTTGTGGATTTCTTTGCAGCGATTTAAAGTCCATTGTATGAAGCAAATGTAAAAGGAATAGACGGGAGCTTCGCTTTTAGCTTTGCTTAAATCTATATATTGGTTATGCTACTATAAAAAGCAGGTAAACAGCCACAGGAGGCTATATTGAGTTGGGATTCCTTCTTTTTCTCTCTGCAGGAGTGCAGTATTCAACCTGCTTGTAATTATTGCCCTTACTGCGGCTTTGGCTGGAAAGGTACGTCAGTCTTATTTATTAGAGACATTTAGAATCACCGCCGTAACGCCAAACGACGACAAACGTCAAATTAAAGTTGACGATTTCTTAAAATGTGCAGAAACGCGTCCTTGGGTGCCGTTTTTTTAGTGGATAATGTGTTTGTTTGTTTGCATCTGTCCAAGGAGGACACCTCCAAAAAAATCTTAAGTTTGGCTAAATCTATATTCTGACCTTTTTCATTCTTGAAACCTATTTAAAACACATTCGGAGGAAAAATATGTTCAATTTCATTATTTTTTATTCTTATTTTTCGTTATCATGGTGTGTGAGTAACAAAAACTATTATTGCAAACCCACCCGACCTTTATTACATCTATGGATCGATTAAGGATTCTGAGAAACTGCCCACCTTCCCCTCCCCTAAGCCAACAGTTTACCTCAAGTGAGAAGTAAGTGTTAATGTTAGCTTACGGGAGGGGTAGGTGGGTACTTTCCCAGAGACCTAATTTGCTCCACATTTTTCACTAAAAAGTCTTCAACCATTCTAGCAGTTACTTGAAACATAATATACAGAATTTAACAACTAAAATATGATTTCATTGTTGCAAAGTTACAATGATTACTACAATACAGTGAGTATCGGACTTCCATTCGCTAAAATGTTAACACAGTATAAATTCGAGTGAAGTTTAAGATGATCCCTTAGTAAAAGAACCTAACATAGATTGTAGATAAAACTTGGTACACTGATGTAACAAGTCAAGAAGATGATAAAAAAGTAATAAAAAGTGGGGGCCATCGTGCTTGTTTTGACGTCACAATGCTGACAAATACGGCTATTTAGGACCCTTTGACAAAAACCGTGTGCAACCCAAAACTAGACAAAAAGGAGAGGTTTTTTTGATGATGCATGTGGTATCGCACATAATTTGACTTTCTTGTATTGTTTATCCACTTACGTACCAGAAAAATGCCTTTTAATGCCTTTTTTTTACTTTACGGTCCAAAGTAGAATTCAATTGCACACGCGCGCTTTCGACCGCTGATGGCTCAATCCGTACAATTTAGCAAAATTGCTAAAAAACTGAACATAGATTTGTGCCAATTTTTTCCTCATCGAAAGGAAGCAATGTCCCTATTAAAATCATGAAATAAAAAATGGGGGTCACCGTACTCGTTTTTGTGGTAGAGCTGCAGAAAGTGCGCACCAAAAGCATTTTCTCCGATTTTTGAGAGAGGACTGGGTCGAGTTTCAAAAAAGACTACGTGTGAAAGGGGGAAGAAATTATTAAAAAATCCGTTTTTACATAATTTACATCGAGATATCACATTTAAGACACAATGTGATAAAGAAAGTGAGCAAGCACAGGTTGAACATCCACTATCGAGGTTCTCCGTGGGGAGGTCGAACTCAGCACTGACACGCGTACTGCTTACGTTATGCACATTCCCGACACATTGAGTCTCACCTCGGCAAGAAACAACCGCAGGCAAAAAAATTTCAATAGCGTTTCCCTTCAGTCAACTTCATTTTAGTAATGTTACTTCACATGCTCTTTTTTACGGCGGCCATCTTGTTATGCGCAGTAAGAGATGCGCAGTGCTAAACCAGGGAATCACCTTAAGTTAGAAAGTTAAACCAAACGAAAAAAAGTTGAGTAAATAAAGCAACCACGTTTAGCACAGTGAAACCGCAAATTTACAGACACTTAAAGGTCAAGTAATACGGGCAACATTTTCGCACAACTTGTCGCGCAACATTGTTGCGTTGCAAGTTGAAAAGGGCTGTTGCCCGTATTACCATCTTCCCTCTCAACTTGTCACGCAACAAATTTCGATGTTGCAAGTTGCAGCTCTTTGAAAAAATCATGCGTTGTGATTGGTCAACATTGTGTTTTTGTGTCAGCAAACAAAATGGCTTGTTGACCTTCTGTGATTTCTTTTTTTACCTCCCTTGTCAATACCGTTCTAAGGCTATGTAGCTGTTTTTTAAGACAGTTTGGTGAAATGTTAAATTTTTGACATAACCCTTCCAGAGCTCTTGACCTCCGTGACTTGTTTTTATACTGTGGTCCACAAGTTTCCCACAGACAAGAGTGCTTTTCAAGTTCTTTGCACAAATCTTTTCTTTGGGCCTCTGACATTTTTTCACTAATAAATTCACAATCTTGGGTCTCAGCATTCTTAACCTCCACAACCTCGGCCATGTTTACTTTGCCCAAATCGGATATGCCCGAGGTCAAGCGCGCGCTTACTCACCATCTTTCCCGCGTTTTTGGTGCGGGAAAATTGACCAATCACAAGTGTTGTGAAGTGTAGCAAGTTGTGATGCAAATGATAAAATTGAAAGTTTGTTGCAAAAAGTAAAACTCAGGTCTCCTTTGCGCAATATGTTGTCACAACTTGCAACATCAAGATTTGTTGCGTGACAAGTTGAGAGCGAGGGTGGTAATACGGGCAACAACGCTTTTCAACTTGCAACGCAACAATGTTGCGCGACAAGTTGTGCGAAAGTGTTGCCCGTATTAATTGACCTTAAGGAGAAGTTAAGAATGTATTTCTTTCAAAAGCTGGCGACAGAAGCGCGATTCCCTGCCAAACGGTGAACCAAAGTAGAATCCTGCGGCTAGCAAACGCATTTTCTCTGTGATAAGATGCTACTGAATACGACTGGTTTATTCCTTTATCTTTACGTTAAACCCAGCTAACAATACTGTCAATACTTCTCAATTCTGTCAAAAATATTTTTTTGGAGCAAGTTCGGTTAATAGGCTGATTTAGCAACAGAACGGGAACGTCATTTGACGACGGGAAAGCTCGCGGAAAGGACTAAACTCGACTTCCGGTGCGCAATTTGCGGCTCTGCCATTGGTCAAGCCTAATATGAAGCCGTTTCATTTTCGATGGGTTTGAATAAGGTTCAGCAAACTTTTATTGTGGTACAGAACCGGAAAATTTGACGCGAAAAAAAAAAAACAAAACAAAACAATGGGAGTCTTTTTTTTACCTCTTGGTTAATTCGCAAAGAAGAATTGTTGTTGAACTCAAAATATGCTAAAGGGTTCTCTAGTTATTTTAAACAATGTTATTTTGCGTTTTAAACTGTGCGTTGAAATTTTCTTTGTGTTCAACTACTTATTGAGTTGGGCGCGATAAAAAGCTTGCTTTTTTAATCATCAGTCAAATTTCAAACAACATGACTCAGACAATGCAGATGGTGCAGAGTTCACAAAGTTATGCATTTTACCGAGTTCAGCTAACTTTAAAAAAATGTTATAATAAAAAGACTGAATGTTCTATTAAATAGAAATTATTTCCCTGTTATGTTATCGCATTGGCCAAGAAGGAATTAACTCTATACACTTTGAGATACTTTTAGGTACTTTATCCATACCTTTTTTTGCTTGGGCAAGAAAATTAAAATAAACTGTTGATACCCGGTTACTTACCTTGTACAAAGCGCGATTATAACATTGCTTGCAAGAGGAACATTCACGACAATATGAATAAACCAAGTCTAGCTTCAACAGTGTTTTAGGAAACACCTGCAGCCAAACCCAAAAGTGAGCTCAGATGACTCTGACTGTCATCAAGAATAAATAAGGACTTATGATTATCGAAATTTCCGAACTGGTGAGGCTACAACATTTACGTTAATTGAACGCTAATTTAAAAGTGTTTTTTCATTACTTATATTATTTCTCCAAACTTGCCAAGGATCCCTTTATAAACGATAACGGAGATCGCCAAGTCTCCATTGAGTATGAAGCAAATCGGTTGCTACAAACAGACAGTGAAGTCCTGGTGACTGATTTTAATTTGACACAACACTTGACGTTGTAAGATAGATGGCGGCTGTTATCGTTATTTAATCTATCAGTAAATTATTGGATAATTAAAATTTCGCTCAGCTACGTGCCTAACAGCCAAGTAACAAATAAGATGATTTTCGTTATATGGGTCGGATCATTGTCCTAAACAAGTATGCGATATGCTTTGGTTGCTTGTTCACATACGGAAACCCAGAAAATGCCTTTGTTAGGAGCATGATATTTTTCTCCTAAACACCATAGTAATGAAGCAAAGAAGGGGATCCTCTTGTGCAATTTGTTGTGTTTTGAGAGTTTTGACATATCTGCTTTGGTATTTATTGACACAATGTGCGACATCAGTTAGAGCAAAACATCACCTTTAATTTGTATTCATGACCAGAAAATGCAGAGGCGAAAATTAGCCCCAGAAAATTTTGAGCTCAAGAAGAATAACGCGTTATGAAATTGCTTAAGAAAATAGAAAACTTTTTCGGGCTCCGGTGAACGGTAATGTGTTAAACACAAAGAGAACACACGGCTTCCAATGTAATGGTTACCTCATTTAGACAAACTCTTTTTCATATCGTTTCTTAGACTCTCAGGCCTCATGGAATAATTTAATTGGACGGGTAACCTTATCGCTCCGCCGTGTTTCTAAAACCTTTGCTGGATTATGTTAAAGATTATAACTCATCACTGGGTGAGGTTTTGCGTTTATTATTATTAATAGGCTGATTTAGCAACAGAACGGGAACGTCAGTTGACGACTGCGCGCGCAAATCAAACAACTGGCTTGACCAATGGCAGAGCTGCAAATTGCGCACCGGAAGTCGAATTCAGTCCTTTCCGCGCGCTTTCCTGTCGTCAAATGACGTTCCCGTTCTGTTGCTAAATCAGCGCATTTATTATCATTATTATACTACTACATGAGAAATTTCTGCAATTTGATTGGCTCAGGGCAGTGGTATTTCAGCTTAATTTGAAATACCTACATGTGAAAATTACAGCCCTTTTGCGAGTAGTAGTATAAACAAATAATAGCATGTGTGACATTTCAAAATTGTCTTAAATTTCACTCGTCTAACGGCTCGTGAAATTATGTATAACAATTTTGAAATATCACTCGTGGTATTTATGCCAAATATCACTACAAATCATGCTATTACCTATACTAATTTTCATTATTAGTATTATTTTATGGTAGGTCCCGTTTGCGAGTATCATAAAGCGAAACATGTATTCTGACTGGCTACTTGAAAGGGTCACTAGATAGGCAGCCAGAGATTGTCCATTTTGTCCCCGCAAGGAAAATTTTGATTTCGCCAAGCTGAGAGATGTTGAATTTTCATTCCCCCCCTAGGTTCTGCAGTTGGACTGGAGACCGCTAATGAGAGACTCTTTCTGCTATGCCTTGTCAATAGGTGTTTTCTCGTGGTTCGCGTGGGATGGCAAGTTTGAGCTTTACGAGTCTGTAATTCTTCTAGTCCTTTACATTCTTTACATTATTCTGATGAAGTTCAACACCAAGTTAATGAATCTTATGGCTGGTACAAAGTAAGTAAATTGCAGTTTTCTTCCTCTCATGCTAAAGCTTTGTTTTGCATAAGAACCTTTGAGCAATTTTGTCCCAGTCTACTCTCTGGTAAAGACGAATACCATTGGAGGTGATACATTGTTTATGATATAGCGACGTGTCCACCTTACACGGACAACAGAGATCAACTCACGGTGTACGTTTTAGGACGGTGTTCGTCTTAAAGAGAGGGCTGGATTTAATTTTCCAGTTTTTTTAGTTTATGTCCTTTCAATCTTTTCTTTTGTTGACTAATATTTCGCTTTGTGATTAAATATGACTTGTTAACTCAGCTGAACAATTAAAATAGTTAACCGGCTTAACGCGCCTAATCTTTTAATTCATATAGCCTGTAAATTAACGTATTTTGCAATACCAATTTTTTTTATGATCAAATAACTGTTAAATTTGATAATAGTTGTTAAAGTCAAATCAAGATCCAGATCTGCCAGTCAATTAATTCCTTGTCTAAATTATAAGCCGGAATAAAAAAATAATAGAGATAACAGAGACTAAATGATTTCGCGTGAAAGTTTATAGTAGTCGCGCAGCAAACAACAGGGGCACCCAGCATCAATTTTCGGAAAATATCTGTTCGGGAGACGATTGGAGATCTAGAATTTTCGGAACATTTGTCGTAAAATTTCTTGCTTGCCTGCCTCTTCTATGATTTTCGAACATCTAAAAACTGGTATAATTGCCCATTTTTGACGGATTATTACCCTAAATAAGTCACCTAGAATTTTCGCGAGCCTTTTTTCTGGCTGAAATTTTCGAAAAGGTAAGTTTTTATCCCTATAATTTTCGGATCATTAGGCTTTCAGCTAGGAAATCCGAACAGATGAAAAATTTTAAGGAGATAAAAATATGCCCGTATCTACCGTTTAAATACTAAAATACGTTAAGCAATGCTATGTTTAAGTGGTTTTGAACTATACTCTCGATGGGTGCCCCTGAAACAATAAACGTTGTTCTTTAAACTTCTTTTTAAACTCTACCTGTTCACAAACATTTTTCTTTCCATTAACTTCTACGGTTTTATATCTTATCGGTCATGGAGCAGAGTTATCTCAAGAGATGAGGAGCTTCCGCTGAATCCTTACACACTGTTAGTACATCTTAGTTCAATATTATTTCCCTATCTTATTTCACTCTGTTAAATAAGCTTCGATGAGCTCTTCCCCACTGAATTTATACAAGGTATCGTATGATAGTGATTAAAAAGAGTAAAATTGAAAGCTAACATTTGAAGATCTGTTCTAGAGAAACTAGTAAAAAACCGAGCTAGTTTTAAAATTTGAGAGTATTTCGCCTTTAAATATTAAATAATTATAAGACCGACGTCACACGTATTCTTTAAATATAACTAAATCACTCACTTTCTTCAACATACAAGTAACAGTTAAACTCGTACTACAAGTCAAACCATTGATTTTCCCTAAGTAACCAAGTTCAAACAAAATGAAGTTCATTGGTTTCTTTTACTTTCTATTCCTGCTATGTTCTTGCCAACTAGACTATTAACTGCAACAGGGGCACCCAACGACGGCTTCCACCTAAATACATTGAAAACACTTTTTAGGTTATCCAGAGTACTTTTAGATCCCTAGATATGCATTCTAGGCAGCGCTATAAAATTTGCACCTGTTCGGTCATCCTAGGGAACTTGAGTTTTTTCGAAATCACAAGGGTTTCAGTATCATTTTCCCGAAACTTTTAGATGCAATTTACATGTAACGTATTACGAAAGAGAGAATTTTTCTGATTCCTCTCTCCATCACATTTTAGAATCAGAAAATGTTAGGTTTCCTTTTTCTAATAAACATAGCGTAACCTGGGTAGTAAAATATGAAAAATTAAACTTCAGAAAATAGCCCTAGTAGGGAATTTATTGCATAAGCTTCGAAAATTGAACATGAATGGAAAGGTCCTCGAGAAACTTTCAGCCGTTCTCAAGTAATAGAAGATTCTAATCAATACTTGCTTCTCAGCACAGATATTTAACAGAAAACAGTCGTTGGGTGCCGCTGCTGCAAGAACTCGCTTGATAGATAAAGCTGTTTACATTCCATGCGTCCTCATCCTATACCTTCATTGCGCCTGTTTTGTTTTTAGGCACAAGGGAGGACAGGTTAGTCCGGCTCAACAAACAGAAGTGACGCAATTTACGAGCAGTGAAATTGAGATTCAGGCTGACCAAAATTCCCAAACTTCTTCAGCTGGTGTGCTTCACGGTCGCCAGGGAACACCAGCCGGCAAACTACCTCCCATAAAATCTGTGGTAAGTACACTTTTAGAAACCTCTGAAGAAATCCCTCTTTCTGCTTCACAAAAAAGACAGCGAAAAAAAAAGTCTTTTACCCTAAGGTGAAAACGACAGCACGACTTGTTGAAAGCTCGATTGATTTAAAAACATTTTTTTATCTAGAGAACGCTTCAAATGAGTGCGCACCAGATTATTCGTGCTGTTCATTTTGAGAAAGATAACACTTGTCCATCGTGGGTCTGCGAGGTTCAGATACAAAAGACTTCATATCAGTCTCATCTAGTGTTCAACCAGACTGTGACGTTTGTTCCACAAGCGGTTATGAAATCTATGGAAGTTTTAGTGTCCCGTCGTGTTCCATTTGATGAATCTAGCTATGCACTTTTTACTCGTGTCAATTAGTACATGTTTTCTGTTAAACAAATTTCTTGTTCTTGTTTCAACTTATAGGAAAGTAACTTAGCAGAGGGAGACCAAGCTAACCAATTCTTAACAACCGGCTCTAGTCACACCAAAGGCAGATTCGCTCACGCTAACAAAGGACAACTTTCTAGGTCATTTGTAAGTGAAAAAACTTTGTTTGTCTTTTCTTTTGTGTGTTGAAAAAAGATGCAAGTGTTAGCACGCTGATGGAGTAACCTTACTCACTGAACTGCTTAATACTCGCTGTGAAGTGCGGCAAGACCTAGGCCCCGTTTACATGAAGAAAAGTTGTCCCGGGAAGAAGGGTCGCCATGAGCAAGTCAACGTTTCAGTGATTTTGTTACCTCTGCGTCCCGCGTCCCCGACGCTTAAAAATCCCCAAAGACGCAAAATAATTCATGGCATACGTCCCGTGGGAAGCAAAGCTATCTTTTTCACAATAATTCTGTTACGCGGAATCGTTGTTTTGAATAGTAGCCATGGTTAGTTTGTTTAAAGGAAGTTAGTCCTTGGAAAAAGGTGACTTGCACTTTGATTCAAAAATCTATTTCAACATCTTTGTTTGGCGGCTCAACATCAGCTATATGTACTTAGCCAGAGAGAGAGAAACTTCGTATGTTTGCTTTTTTTTTCTAGATTCATATTATATTATAACAATGTCACATTTGTTAGGTAGTCTTAAGCAGTCGAGGCAGACAGGAGGAATGGGCATCAGTTGTGTTTCAGGGATACTGTTATCACTGGAAACTGAAGGCGGCTCGTCAGTAGAGACAGGAAGCGTAGATAGTTAGCAATTGTTTTTTCTTTTATGCTTTATATAAGAAGGCTCGAAATATCTATTAGCAATAAAAGGTTTACTTGTCAAATTATTTGAATAAAGAGGCAGCAAGTATTCTAGTTTGTCTGTTTGTGTAGGTGAAGCAAGTAGTCAAGTTTTCCTGTTTGTGAAGGCAAAAAAAAATTCCTTCTCTTTCTATCGATCGACAAAAATAAACTTCAAACTACAAAGAGACAAAATTCAGGATCGAACACAAGCTGGAAACTTTTTCTACTCTTCATTGTTGTCGATGTCTTCGATTCTATTCATTTTGCACACCAGCGTTTATTTCAGCGTAAGAAACGAACCACACAATATCAGGGAATTTTGCATTTGACACGTTTAGTAGTTCGACCTGTTTATGATCTTTTTAATACCTTCCTGTCTCTACTTTTCGATCGATCCTGTTTTCAATCACAGATTAATCTATCCTTGGGGCACAGCCATCATCGGTCTGTACCGCCTTCTGTCAAGCCTCGATTGTCAATGTCGTTTCCGGGTCTAAGAGATCTTTATGACGACCCTAAGGCACATCGAAGGAGCTCAGTTGGATTCCATGGCCATGTAGAAGGAATTAGACTCAAATCCGTGGCACAGCAACAGGTTCTAAAGGAGTACAGGCGACGGTCAGATATGATCCAACAGCAACAGCCTACGGTCGCTATTGTCCACGTTGACTCCAACGGCAACACGCATACGGTACCTTTGGATGATGAAAAAATTACCTCTGGGATCGATGAAGTAGACGAGGAACAGGGGGAACAAACCATTAAGCCTTGCCCTTGTTTACCTGCGGTATCTGCCGAGTATCCAGAGTTTCCCGAGGATGGAGGCTGTTGGGCAGCGTTTAAGTACGTTTTGGGCTGGATCTTGTTCCTGATAAGCTTTCCATTCATTTGTGCGTTCACTTGGACCATTCCAGATTGTAGTAAGCCACATAACCGAAAGTACTTCCTCGCTTCCTTCATCATGTCCATCGTTTGGATAGCGATCTTAAGCTTTGGCATGGTCACCTTGGTTGGACGGTCAGGATGTATTCTCAGCGTGGACAAGTTTACCATGGGTTTGGTGGTCATTGCTATTGGTACCAGTGTTCCGGTTAGTTTTTGATACATAGTAACTATTTAAACAGGCCACTGAGCTGGACAATGTACCCGTAAAATTGTAATCGCTTGAAATTTATGACGCCTTGTTATTCGCTTATTAAGCCCTATTAAGCCGGGTTAGCCAAATACCCTACCACCGAGCCACACCAGCACTTAATTTGCAAATGCCAACCCCCGGGACTTAAAAGGCGCCCAAGTCTCCTCGCAATTGCCTGGGGAGGGGATGGACGCAGCTATGTAGTCATCAAGGTTTCCGTTTGTCCTGTTCAAAGCGTTGGTGCTCTCAAGTCAATTTAACTGGTCATTTCGATTGTCTGAAAATCAGATTGTCAGCTAAAAATATGTTACGGCAAATTGATTTTTTAACTTTAAAATTTACTTTTAATTAGAATTTATTCCTGGCTCAAATTTAGCCATAAACCAAGGAATATCAGGGCCCTAGTAAAGAAGTTAAAACACCAAATAACAGTGAAGCATTTTTTGCAGGCATTTTCTTTGACCGACTCTGGTCGCTTTTCGGACCAAAATTTGACAAGATCTCATCTGGTGTGCTTTGTTCTATATTCTATTTAGGACGCTCTGAGTTCCATCCTTGTTGCTCGTGATGGATTTGGAGACATGGCCGTGTCAAACGCCATTGGTTCAAACGTGTTTGACATAAATCTTGGCATTGGGCTACCATTTGTCATCAGGGGCTTGATTGATAACTTTGAAGCTATACATTTGCTCTCGAAAGAGGAAGAGGTGGGTATTTGAATTTGTGTTTTCACCAAAATATGTGATGCTCTGCAGCAACTGAGGGACAAGAATCAGCACGCACTCTAAATATAGGTAACATTCGCGCTAAGTGGTGTGGGGTCAGGAGGGGAGCGGGGGCTGCTTTTCGGGTTTCCTACTATAACAGCCCTTTACTCGCGATCTCTACCTGATTAGTAGAAGGATTTAGTTAACATAATGCGACGAAAGTGACAAAGGGGCATTGGCTTGAAATGCAAGACTAAAATTTAATTGAAGTAGTGTATAGTAAAAAAAAGACTTGAGTAAGTAAATCTTGGGGGTTTTGAAGGAAAGAGGGTCGTAAACATCTTGGCCCTACGCTCTCGTTTATATATACCTGTTTTTATTTCTTTACAGGATATGTTCCTCTCAGGGGATATTGTAATGGTACCACATGTAAAATTTGGTTTTATTCTGCTGCTGATTCTTCTAATCGCACTGGGGATTTTTGCCGCCTCGCATTTTAGACTCAACAGGCTAATTGGTAGCTCGTTTTTCTTCATGTATATTGCCTTTGTAGTCTACGCCTACCTCCAAGATATGTTATGTGACTACGATTGCTGACTGGAAAACGTTGTTAGTAGTTGCTTCACTTTTATGGCTGTCGCTCTTTTACTGGTTGCAGGAAATGTTACTTTTTCAAACAAAAAAATTTTTCCTTGATTTGGGGATCCTGCAAAATTTTCCCTTTTAATAGTAACAGAACAGCCAGTCATAAACGACCAAAACCCTCAAACCGTATTTGTACTCAATCAAGACTTAATTTAGATATTATTTTTGTACGAGGACGTCTTTTAAAACAGCAACAAGAAAATCGTATTAAAGTTCAAAACTCATTTTAATGTTCCCTTGATGTTTTAATGATCGTGATAACACTTGTTACTTTTGAAGGAAACATTACCACATCAAGGGAAAACTATAGTGAGATGTGTTATTGATATAAAAGAAACATGAAAAATTTACTTTACATTCAGTGGTCTTGGGGAAGGATTCGAGCAACAAAATTAAAGATTTCCCGGATATTTTTTTTTTTTTCAAAATCTTTATTTAGTTTTGATAAATAGAAGGACTTAGTCCGGGTGAACATGTCAAATTTTACCCATGTTGCTCTGTTTTTCCGCGTTACCTCTCGCGTAAAGTATTTTAATTCAGTTGCTTTGTAATTGTTAAACTAGGAAGCTTCTGTACTGAAAGATTTAGAGAGTTCTTTTGTAAATTGTAAGTTTTGAAAGTTTGATAGTAAAAGAAAAAACGATTTGATAATCTCCTACATCAGCTGCCCTCTGCGGAATAAAGACCTTTGTGTTGAAGACAAGCAGGCTGGCTAGTTTAGTAGAATCAATCCATTTCAAGAAAAAAAACGAAAAAAGCTCTTAGCTTTTGTTGCTTAATATTGAAATGTGTCTTGACCACTAAAACGTCTTCAGTATTTCTGGTGGTAAAAACTTCGGGGAACGTTTGCAGAATGTATCCCAATTAAACTTGTATGAAATTGCCGTTAAGGTTAACTCGAGAAAGCGGCTTTTCGGAATTTTTGCGGCACATGGGGTCATGGCAACCTCGTCCCCAGGGTTTTCTCGTTTTCCAATATGCCGCCGCCATCTTGGAAAACGAGAAGACCCTGGGGACGAGGTTGAGGGTCATGGAGATTTTTGGTGTCCAACCGGAAGGATCATGGGAAAGTTTCAAAAAGGCAAAGGCTCCTGACTACCGCAGCGCGCTCCACGAGTGAGTTCAAGGAACCTACAAGGCAATCGCTCGCCCGCTTATCCCCTTTCCATATTAAATGCCTTCAATGCTAGGCTCTTTCGTAGCTGCTCGCCTGTGGTACACATTGTCTCCCAAAAAAGAAAGAGAGGAGAGATCTTCCTCTCCTCAGTTTCCTCCCGTCTTATTTTCGTGTTAGCGTTTTCTTGATTTCGCAGATCCTTTCACGGACCCGACTACAGTCGAACCTCCGTAAGCGACCACCCAAATGGCAAATACTGAGTGGTCGCTTGAGGGAGGAGGTCTTTTACAAGAATCGAACCACAGGGGGTCTCTTCCGAGGAGAGGTCCAGGCACATCTACTTTATGGAAGATAATTTATTGCATGCAATACCTAAGTTACGATATGTGTAGTTCCATGTTGTCACTAAAGGTCTTCTTATATTCTAAGTATCGCCACACAGCAAAAATAGTGATCAGAGAATGCGTCAAGTGGTCGCATACAAGGAGGTAAAAAACAATGGAAATCATTAACCGTCAAGCCCAAAAAGTGGTCGCGGTCGCTTACAGGAGATGGTCGTTTACTAGAGGTTCCAGTTGTAAGCCTTTGACTGAGAAAATTTTGGTATTTTGGATTGGCGGTCGCTTACGAGAGCTGGTCATACATGGAGGTTCGATTGTATCTCGGAGCCTGGAACAAATTATACCCGGCATCAAAGGTACGGAAAAATGGGCAACAAAAATAGCCTGAGAAAACAGCCGACTTTGGCGGCGCTACCACTAGTTTCCTCGTCAAATGACGTCTGAGAAACGAGCGCAGAAAATCCATACTGATGAAGCGTCACTACCCGGATCTGGGTAGTGCTTCTGAATGGCTGAATCAAATTTCCCACGCGGCACGACCAATCAAAAGCACTACCCAGATCTGGGTAGAGACGCGTCATCAGCATGGAATTTCTGCGTACGTTTCTCAGACGTCATTCGGCGAGGAAACCAGTGGCAGCGTCGTCAAATGTCGGCTGTTTACTCAGGCTGCGGTGACAAATAAAAAACGTGCAACTTGTTTTGCAACAATTAACAAAACGAGTCGAATAGCACGTTTTACTACCCATGTTTCGACCTGCTGACAACCGGATTTGTTGCAAAACAGGTTTTATGTGGGTGGTAAAACGCGCAACGTGGCTTTTCAACTCGTTTTGCAGCAATGTTGCAAACTAGGTTGCAGGTTTTTGTTGCCCGTTTTTCCGTTAAGCATGAATCATTACGAATTCGTGGGGGCCCAACGCTTCATAAAATCACATTTGTATGCGCGGTCAATTAAGGGCTTACTTTTTGCTCATTTCCTGATTAGTTCAGTGATCGGCTCCTACCTTCTGACCACATTGAAAAGTTGGCACGCAACGGTTTCCAGAATTTTTTGAAATTCAAAGTTGATGGACTTATGGCACAACTACTTTTTTGCTTGACCCTTTGATAACAGAATCAAACAAATGCCCCATTACTGGTTCAGTTTTGAAGCAAGGACCATTGGAGATGAACGGTGATCTCTTTTGGCCATTTTCAAGTTACCATAGCAACATCATAACCTATGTTAAACATAATTTAAGCTTTGGGCACATTTAACGCAGAAACGAATAAGCTAGAGTCAGTTACTTCTGAATTGCAATTGACTTACAAAATTTATTCCTCCGGGGCAACCAAATTCCCGGAAAATAGACTCTTCTGAAGTGGTCTGGGAACGAGGAATGATGGCAATCAGAGCTTGGTTACTAAGCTCAACGTGCAGTGAACGAAAAGCAAAAATTGATTGTAGGTTTTCTAGTGGTGAAAGTAGGCTAGGGCTACATAAAGGAGTTTAAGATATACAAGGTTAATTGATTATCCCAAGGTTTTCTGGGAGTGTTAATATTTTAGCAATGGCTGATGTTGAGGAACAGACACGGCGAAATGAATTGGAAGCCGAAATGTCACGGTAAGTTTGTTTACCGGTGCGAGTGATTCAGTTGTTGCCGTTGGAATGTAGATTATGGCACATTTTTACCAATTATTTGTTTCCGAATGATGCTGAATATGATATGAAGAATTATGCAGCTAAAGGAGTCCAAGACCTGCATAATTCTTCTTCCAGCATGGTTTTTTTGGGGGGTTGGGGGGTTGATTTTTGGTCCAGGGATTTTGGTGGGTTTTTGTTGGAAGCTGTGGGGATTACGTTTGGTTTGATTTCTTCCCGTAGCCAATTGATCATCTTGGTCACTTGAAATCTGGAGTAATCCTCTTGGACTTTAGCTATGTAGTTTGCGAACACTCTCTCAGGGTTCCTCTCAAGACTTGCTAGCAGGCTATAGTTCTATACCTGCCAACTTTTTCTGAGATATAAGCGTGAGATTTTTATCCTGGGTGTGCTGGGA